TGGCCGCCATCTTGCCAGCCCCTTGAAGCATGGCCCTCAGGGAGGCGGGACTTCCGATGGAGGGGGGCACTCATCAAAGTCTGATTTTGACAGAAGGGGCATACCTATTCCTCCTTCCATATCCTCTCCCTTTCCCTGCTTCCTTCTCTTCTTCCTACTCACCAACAAACCTTTCTTTTATCTGCCCCCCACTCTTCAGCTTTATTTATTATTTATGTACATTTATATCGAGAACAGCTTAGATAATTCTCTGCTTCTCCATTTTATCTTCACGGCAACCCTATGAGGTAAATTAGGCTGAGAAAGAGTGACTGGGCCAAGGTCATCGAGCAAGCTTGTATGGCAAGAGTGGAGATTCAAAGCTGGGTTTCCCAGATTCTAATCTGACACTTTAACCGCTATACCACCCTGGCGCTCAGCTTTCCATCCTGTCTTTCTCCTGGCAGCTTCTTCCTGGGAAAAATTGGGCCAGGTTGTAAAAGTTGTGCAGTCATAAGTCGCTCAGATGAGTTGTGTGGTAGCCACTGTCAGGCCCAGTCAAACTGCACAAGTTTTGTGGAAACTGCTGCTGGGCCTAGGCAAGTTGTATAGCATCAGGTCATAGCCATCACTGCACCTAGGTAAGTGTGGAAATTTCATGGTAGGAAGTTGCCTTGTGATTGCTGCTGGTCCTTGTCCTGATAAGTCGTCCCTTCAGGGCAGAAGGGAGGGGAGCAGGGGTAGACTGGGAGGTCAAAATAGCTCTGCCCCTTCCCCCTAGTTTCTTGTTCAGCAGAACCATTGGACAGTTTTTATTGAGAGGAGTCAGAGTACAAGAGTATCCAAGTGTACTGGCACCCATGAATACTGCTACCCAATTCTGACACATAACATTTGCCTATACTGTGCAATATGTATCTCAGAGAATATAGTGTTGAAGAGTGAGGAAGGAAGAGGAGGAGCAAGGGCCTGCCTTTTCTTTTCTTTTCTTTTTTTGCATGGGGATGGTATCCAGCATGGCTTAAAAGCATTTTGATAGCTGTTGATCTGAGTGGACTTCGACCCTACATCAACCCAAAGGTTAGGAATTCTAAGAGGGATCGCTTGGTAAGGAGGAAGCCAAGTGGAAATTCAAGCAGTGATTCAAGCAGTAATCCAAATGAACACACGGAGCAGAACTGGGTTTGAAAAGCAAGGAATAGTTACAAGAATGGGCACAGTAATAAGACCAATGAAAAAAGAAAAAAGAACTGTGACAATTTAGCGCTTGGTGCTATATTCATAAATCATAATATACAATAACAGAAAATAAGTACTATATATAGTGAATGTAGACGGTGGTCTCCGGAATGGTGTGCCGTTTCGACAATGATCTTCTTCTGAACAAGGATGTGTACATAAACTGTCTTTCAACAATTCGTTTCTCTTGGTGACATATTGAAAATATACTGTTGATTCACTTCATCATAAAGCTATGCTTACAGCTATGTTCTTCAATGGGCTATAATTGCTGAATGCCTTGAAAAGCAAGACCAAGAGTGCTCAGCTGAAGCTGAGAGTGAGTTGGGAGGCTGATAAGCAGCTCTTGTTAAAGGCACCATTTAATTTAGAGAAACAAAAATTTGAGGTACCCAGACGGGGGTGGGGGAGGGGAAGGAAGTCAGAAATAAGCTGAGGGATTAGTTGGGAGGGGAAAGGTTTGAGGTAGGGAGAAGGTATGTCTGGTAGGGGCTTTAAAGTGGAAGGCTTTGGGGAAGGCTGAAGTTTGGGAAGGTCAGGATCCACTGGTGGTGGATGGAGTGGAGTTGGCATATAGAGAGCAGATAAGAGCTTGGGAATGTGCTCACAGACCTCACCTCACTATTTGAAAGGCAGGTGGAAAGGATGGCCAAAAGCACCTTTTATGAGATGCAGCTGGTAGCCATCTCTCTTTTTTCCTAGGCAGCAGATCTAGTGATGCCAGTCCATGCTTTTATAACCTTGCAGTTGGGCTACCAGAACACACTCTATGCTGCACTGCCATTGAAGGCAACTCAGAAATTGCAACTGGTTCAGAATGGAGCAGTTGTTGTTAGAGGCTAGCCATTTTAAAGCAGTTGCAATGGATGACTATTTCTAAGATCAATTCAAGGCACTGGCCATGACCTTTAAAGCCCTTCATGACCGTCTCTTCCTTTTTGTCTCTATGATCCAGCTACTGCCTTCAGCTTGCCTCTTTCTGGGTGTTCCCTCACTAAAGGTGCCCTACCTGACACATTGGTGAGGCCTGTGGTTTTGCGGTGGTTGCTCCCACTTTATGGAACATCCTCCCTGAGGAGGTGGAGAGGAGCCGTGCTTATAAGGATGGCAGGAAGTGCTGTGCCTCCATGGCAGAGCATCTGTTTTGCTTGCAGTAGTGCCCGGTTCAGTCCCTAGCAACTCAAGTTAAAAGGATCAGGTAGTAGATAATGTGATAGGCCTGAGGTCTGAGCCCTGTAGTGCTGCTGCCAGTCATGGTAGATGGTACTGGCTCTGGGAGACCAATGGCTTGACTTAGTATAAGGCATTTTTCATGTGGTTATATGGAACCTTTAAGAGTGCTGTAAGGGGAGGGTGCATGGCGGATGCTTAAGAAAAGGGCTCCCGACCTCTTTTCCCTTACAACGACTCAAAAACACCTTTTCAGAGCTTGATGCTGAGGAGAAGTATGCGAAAGTTGACGGGAAGTAAAGCCAACAAACTTACAGGTGGAAACCAAACGGTAAAAGGCAAAGATCTAGCCGCATTTATGTCAACATGGCTGGCAAAAGTCTTAGAGCTTGAAGACGGAGTTACTCCAGCAATTGCAAGAGCTCAAAGACTGGGGCCCCTTGCTTCTGCTCGTAAAAACAGACCATGAGATGTGTTAGTACAGTTTATATATCAGAGAACGCGGGACAAAACATTAAAAGAGGACAGAGCAAGAGGTTCGTTCGCATTTAAAGACCAAAAAATAATTGTTCTACTGAACTTATCACCCGAAGTGCTAGAAAAAAGGAAAAAGCTGACACTGGTAACAACTAAGCTGAATGAGGCCAGAGTGAGATTTAGATAGACACCAACATCAGACATCCAAGTTTATAAAAATGGCTTACAATATTATGCCTCTGACAACATCATGGGAAAGGCTCTTTTGATTGCACTGGGACTGAAACTATCAAGCCACGAAGAAGTGAAACTTTTTGAGATCTGAACTATAAGTTACATGAAAGAACAATCCAAGATATTGAAAGTTTCTCTATTCTTTTTACCAACAATTCGGCGTCTCTTATGTTCTTATGTTATGTAATACTCTTTACTGGTTTTTTTTTATATCCAGGAATTACCTGTAAACTTTGTTGGATTATTCCAGGTAGAATTGACGGTTGTTATACATACACTTTTTAAAAGATCAATTATTTAAAATGCTATAATCATTAACTTGAGTTCTTTATGATATAAAAATTTGATGAGGAAAAATGTTAAAGAAATATAATTATGGCTAAGTTTTATTTTCAACATAGTCAAAGTTTACAATTTTTACAGATGGAATATCACATGAAAATATAGAGTATCTTTATTTTAAAGAGTCTTAAGCTAACTAAAATATGTTTATGCTTTATATGAAAATCTATGAGTAACCTATGTAAAACTGAAATTGTGTAGTTTATTGATCCTAGGTTTAAATTTTAATGGAAGATTACTTATCTCGAGCTGTGAAGGGGTTTTCCTATTTAGATGTAAAATATAGGTGGAAAGAGGGCAGTTACAATAATCATATTTATTCGCCTTGATATTAAATCCCCTCCTGTTTAATTAGAGATGCTAGTTAGGGTGTACTTTTTGTCACCCTAAAAGTTTGGGCACAGGGTAGCCCAGCTTTCTAGATCTTAATCCTATTTTTTAGGGTAACAGTGTTGTGCTATAGTGAGTAAACTATAGAGACAAAGGTAGATTTTTGTAGTATTTTTGTACAGAACCAACAGAGTGGTTTACTCTATTATAAAATATTTATTTTAATTTTATTAAAGAGTTTAAAGGGTGTTAATTGTTAATCTAGTTAAAAGGTATTAGCTACATCTAGATATTAGTATATTGGTGCAAAAATATTTCTTTTAGACGTAAAAGCATCTAAAAGACATTATATTATTTTATTAATTATTAGATTATAGCCCTAAGAGAACTGCATTTAATAATACGTTAAATTTGAAGACTGGTTACAACTGTGATAATTGGCACTACAAATATTTTAATTTAAAATAACGTAATTTATACTTCTATCTTGATTATAGACTCCAATTAAAATGACCCAACATTTCAAAATAGCTACTTGGAATGCAAGAGGCCTCAACAACAAAATTAAACTTAAGAGAGCATCCCTTCTCCCTTCTCTCCCCATGTGTGGAGGTTGAAGACAACCTAGGCTGCGGTCACACGGAACATTAGCCACGCTAGAGAGATGGAAGACAAGCGGATTTTCCGGGCGCAATCTCACTGGCACATCTGGGAAGCGAAGCGCTCCCGTGGCTCAACTGAGGCTTCCCGCCAAAGACGCACGGCAAAAAACTAGTACCTCGGAGGTACTAGTTTCCGGAAACCGTGGGGCAAGGGCGGGCGTCTGATCGCGTTTCCGATGGCATCCGGCGCCCACCCATGTCCCCTTGCAAAAAAGGTGCTTTCCCCCCCCAAGTCTCCGTGGATGCGCACAAGCACCCAACGGAGCATGCACATTTTTGCTGTACACACAAAAAAAATGGTTTGCCGCACCGCACCGCTTCTTTGTTGCGGGCAGGATTGTCCTGTGATCAGCACCTCTCCCTACCCACGGGACCTCCAAGGGACCTCCACGGGAGGTCTGATCGCTTAACCGCGGGTTAGTTTGCCCCCCCCCCGCATTTTCCTGCCCGTGTGACCGGAGCCCTAGTTTAGAATCCCAAAATTGCTGAAGAATCCAAATATGGATATCACACAAAGAGTATTTCAACCAAAGAATCCTAGACCAGGAAGTTTTCAGTCTTAGCTTCATGTGCAAAAGGACAAAAGAGGATGTGTGTGTGACCAAGACTTTCAGGCACAGAACTAGAAAACGCAAAAAAGCAATTGGTGCAGTGGGAATAATTTTTTTAATTAGACTTGATGACCCCTACTTGTTTCACTCATGCTTCATCAAGGGGATCTGGATAATAACTTAGCTAAGCTTAGCTACTTTGGGAACTTTCTGATAATGTTGCTATTGATCGCCCTGATGAAGCATAGGCAAAATGTATAGGGGTCATCAAGTCTAATAAAATGTTTTCCCACTGCATCAGTTGTTTTTTTGCTTTGTTCTGTTTACTGTTGTGGCCCTCTCGTCTGGTTATTCATGCCACAAACAAATTGTCTTTTGTATGAGATGTTTCACTACTGGCTATGAGTCTTTCCCTCTTCATAACACTGATTAATACTGGTCTGTTTTATTGATATTATATTGTAGTAACTTCTAACTCTGTGAGCTGCTCTGACTATATGAAACTATCTAAATCAGTAGTTTAACACAACACTTCAGATGATGTCATTGTCTACCCTTTATTTGCCTGCTTCTTGCTCTGACAGCCAATCATATGGACCAGAGGTGAGGCAAAACACATCATGATGACATGTATTAAGTTAAACTAGATGTCACCAGGAAAATGGGACACACTTTCCCTCGTGTGACATCTGGCTGCTCCTGTAACAGCCCTCAGATAATAGTGCCTCCTAGGCTGGAGCAACTCTAGGGGTGGGCAGTTTGGAAGGGCAGCAGAGGCCTTAAGCCATCTATTGCTGTCTTGTTGCAGCCCCAAACTTCTTTCCCCTCGTCTTGCTGGGTTTGTGTTACATCACTATCAACCCATGCCAAGGAGTCACAGTTCTTTTTTAAGTACAAGGTTTTGTGCCTTTGAATTGTGCCTCGTTAAATGTGCATGTAATTTATTTTGTCTCTTCTTCAGTGCAGTATAATTCCGTATGGGAGGTGGGTCTCTTCAGTGGTTTGCAGACAGCGCACTAAGATTATGTAAATTGGAAGTTACCTTGTAAAGCAATGTCATCTTTTACTGGTGCTATGAGAACACCCATCTGATCACAATGAGCCCATGGAGAAAATGGATATTGAACAAATAGAACAAATAAACTATGATCATGAAGCTGGGGGTTTAAGATACCCCATTCATTGACTATTGTTAATAGAACCTGTGAGCTAGCCAGAGATATAGATTCTTCTGAGGAATGATCACAGATTATCTGAAATGTGGAGGTGACTGGACCAGCCAGACTCTACTCTCAGGTTTGAAGAGGGTGCTCAGGAAGAGATAAATTGTATATGCTCAAGGTAGTGTTTATTAGAGATTATTTAGGTGTTACAGGCAATCTGGTGGCTACAAAATTACAAAACACAGCAGAAGCAAAGAAAGGCCTTACAGCATTCCTTCTGCTCCCTGGAGACTCCTGTCAGAGGCAAA